ACATATATATATATATATGTAAGATTTAATTTCAAAAGTTGATAAATTTACTTTTTCAAAAATTTATGTCGATTGTAAAATATTTCTCAAGCGCAGGGTCCATTAGAGAATGAATTATATTCTCCCGCCGTTCTCCAATTATTTTCCTCTCGTGTTTTTATTTTTTTTTTTTTTTTTTTTTTTACGAATTTCACGAATTCTTGAGCCTCGATCGCCGAATAAATTTTCCACCCGCTTGTCTATACAATTTTCAATTGCGCGGAGCAATAATTCTCGCGCGAGTCACGTATGTATGCTCGAGATTTTTGTAAAAAAAGAGGAAGGGGGAGGGGGAAGGAAGGGGAAAAATCGATCCCATTCGGATTCGCGGCACCGTGAATGATCGAATCGCTAATCGCTAATGATGTAGTCCACGACTAATGATGTAGGTCGATGGTAATTATTGCTGCACGATTAGTCGACGAGGTAAATCGGCAAGGTAGATGAGAAACGTCTGACCTCCACTGACGCCCATCCCCACTTTTCCCCCTAAAGCGCACGGGTTCGCCTAAAACACACACACACACGACGATTAAAATTTAATTATCGTCGAGATCGATTATATACAACCTGTATATAACGCTTTCAGCTGAATCACGTTTTCAAACTTATTCGTATCACGCGTCCTTTATCGCGATGAAACTTGAGAAAGTTCGTCGAAGCGAGGCAAAGAGGGGAATTATCGAAATTTGTTAAATAAAATACGGGGATGGGGGGGAGGGATTAGAAAAGAAAGATGTTTTTAATAATGGAGGACAGGGAGAATTCGGGAGGGCAAAGTTGGAGCGGCAAATTTAATAACGGGAACTTGGGTAAGAAGGAAGGAAGTAAGGAGGGAGGGAAGAAAACTTCTGTTTCTCGCAAATCGTAGCTGACAATTTTATTTTTAATAAAATCGTTTAAACCGAATAAACACCCGAGTTGACAAAACTACGTGCGTACAGAATAATGAGAACCGAGCAATGTTGTTTAATTCCTGAGAAAATCAAATCGATTTTTCCAAGTGAAGACTATCGAAAATCACCGAAATTCGTATAAAAAGAAACGGGGCTTGTTCGGGTTGCCGAATGTTGCCAGGGGTTGGCCCAATCAAAGGCCCTTGAAGCTCGAGAGGGCGCGATAAAAAGAAGCTAGAAGAAGCGAAGAAATAATTTCGCGGAGGAGAACTCGTCGTGAGAAATTGTCCGTTCGACGAGTCTCTTCTTCCTTTACTTTAAGAGAGGTAAAAATAGACAGGAAGAAGAAGAAGAAGAAGAGGAAGAGGAAGAGGAAGGAAAGAAGAGGATGTGGAGATTTAGGAATGAGAAAGAGAAAGAGAGAGAAAGAGAGAGGTGTCTTCCTCCTTAACGCGTAACGAGAGCTTATTGCGGGATTGGTGGCGGGATTGGGACGGTGGCAATTTCGTCCTCGAATTCTCCATCTCCCCCTCCCTAGTTCGCACGACGCCCCTCGACGCCAGCGCTTTTCGTATCGCCTTCGTCAGGGAGGATGGGTCCTCCAGGCCGGAAAACTTTCCCTGAAAACTTATTGCCCAACTTATTACCGGAGTTTAAGCCGTCCTCGGCCACTTATCGTGGAATCTTCGGCCGACCGGAAGTTTAAAAGGGGCAAGTGTATGTGTGTGTGTGTATGTATGGAAGGGAGGAGGAGGAGGAGGAGGATAAAAAGGAGTCGCAATAAGCGTCCGAACGAGGCTCACTTGTCTCGAATTCTCTCTCCGCTTCGCGATATTACGTTTTCTCTGCTTTATTCTTCCACCTCTCCCCTTATACCCAACGGTTCCACCAACCGGTACGGCGATGGGAATTTGGAACGAGTGTAACGAGGGAGAATTGGCGAGAATTGCCGCCTGAAACTGAAACTCACGGAAGGTAAGAAAGAAGAAAGAAAGAATCGAGAAGAGAGAGAGGGAATTAATTGATCGAAACGATTGTCATATCTTTGGAGGGATATTTTTTGGTAAATAATAGCTATCTCTTCGACGATCTTCTTAATCACTTGATTATGGAATTTATGAATTTCACAGGTGTGCAGGGGAGATATAGAATCTGGTAAACGGTAAACGAGGCCAAGATAATGCGAAGAAGAAAAGGAAAGAAAGTAAATTCGTATCAAACAGTCAGCTGGCTAATAACTTTCATTCTCACGCCGTACAATGGTTCGAATAATAGAAGTACAACTGGACAAAATTATTTCTTTCCGCTTATAAATGATTATAGATTTAATTTTTAGAAAATAATATTGATTTTTATTATAATTTATTATTTCGTTAAAAATGTATGTAATATAAAGATAACTATGTATGTAATATAAAGATGACTAATGTAAAATATGTAAAAAAAAAAATTAAGCTTGTATTTAATTAGTATAGAATAAAAAAAAAATATAATATATAAAATAATCAATATATAAAAAATATATAAATAATATAAATATTTGTGATTTGAACCTTTAAATAACCGCACAAAGTATCTGCGTGACAGCAAAAAACTTGTAGCAAGAAATTAATTTAGAAAGCGCTTCGAATTTGACAAACGTATAATAAATTGGATTTTGAGAAATGAAAAATTATTCTAAAGAAACGGATGTTAAGGACAAAATTATTAAAAAAAGAAGTTATGGCTATTTGCTAGGGGATGCTCTCGACAATTCTATTCTATAAATTATCCGATAAATATGAGGCCAGATATGAGCCTAAATTTAATGATAACAAAATGATTTAACAAAATAATGATAAAAAATAATAAAATTATAAAATGAAGAAAAGTACTGTAAGAAGATGTACAATATCGATCGGCTCAAAGATTGAAAGAAATAAAAAAATTGCCAAAATTATATTATTATTTCTTATTTCTAAAATATGACAATGATAAAAATGCATATATCATAATATAGGATAGCTTAAAATTAATTCATAAATATCAGTGGCTAGATTAAAGAATTCTTGCGGGCGTAAACATTAAAATTAATTTTAATATAGTTTTCCAAAGTTCTGCAAATCAAATATGTATCAGTAAAAAAAAAAAAAAAAAAAAAAAATATAGAAAGTTTCCACTTTCCATACATTCAACTCTTGTTGCGTGGAACGACGTGGAACATATGAAAAATCAAATTATTACATCGTGTGAATTTCTAATACGAAGTAATTAAACTCCAAGTTTAATTTATAAAAAAAAAAAGAAACTTATTAATTAATAACGATTTAAATTAAAATAGATGTTTCGACATGTTATATCCGTTATTATTAATTAAAATTTAAATGCTTCTCGATAAATTTACAAAATATTTCTCAATTATTGAAATGTGACCGATCAGTGTTATCCGATTAATTGTTTGCCTCAAAAGATGATTTGAAATTTTAACGTGTAAAAAATTATACAGATTACAAAATCGAAACAATTATTTTTTTATATATTTGAAAATAAATTTTCAATCCAATTATAAACATCACGTACATTATTCGTACCACTGCGCGCCGTCTTTGCATCTCGCTCCCCGAACAGGAAAGAGATTCTTCCTAGGGCAAGAGGGAGGTGACAAAGAGGAGGAGATGGAGAGACAGAGATACGATTTTTCTTACCACATGGTTGACGAACTTACGTGGATGGGATTACGAGCACAATTACATAAGTGGAGGGCCAGCCAAGTGTCTCGTGCCGTGCTGGGAGAGGGCCGCTCCAACTGTCCCCTTTCTTTCTCTCTCTTTCCTCCCTTCTCTCCTCTCCCCCTCCTCTCACGGAAAACGTGATACGTCACATCCTCCCATTGTCTCCGAGAACACTTTCGAGAAGAGCAAAGAGGAAACGAGCATCGAGGGTGGCAGTCGCAAAAACCTTTTTGGACACGTCCATTTCCCCTGGTTAAAATAATAATGCCAACGGCGGAATTGTAAAATGGAACGTACAACTTTCTTTTTTACAACCGCGGTTATTAAACCACTTATTATTAAAAAAGATTACGAAGATTATGGAGCCAACGACCGTTAAGATTCCTTTAAAATCGCTTCCTTGAAAAATCATTTAAAGAGGATATCCTCTTAACCGTGAATAGTCCATCATCCTCGAGTTCCAAGAGTTTTCCAAGAAGAAACGAAAAAACCTCGATTAAGCTAATTGGACGGTTAATCGAGTTTCTAATTTCTTATTATTGCCAGAAATACAGAATTCCTCTTCCCACCAATGTTCAATCCCTCCAATATTTATTGGAGAGGATTTGTTTTTTCGCTTATAGGTCAATTGCCCGTCGAAATCGCGGATATATATATATATGTCTCGGCGTTCTCCCCTTCTTATCGACCGTGATATTTCGCGATATCCCAAGCCTCTTCCGTGGCGGATTGCGGCGAAAAGCTACGTCACGGACAAACAGCGGGCCAAGTAATTTCGAGCTAGTTTCGACCTCGAAACACCAAACTTTCCTCGCCCTATCTTCATTGCACCCTCGTTCCCCTAATTTCCCCTCTCGTTCTTAATTACGTTCGCGACTTATACTTGCCAGAAATAATAAATCGTCATCGGTGCACGAAGCGATGCAAAGAAAAAAGAGAAAAAAAAGAATAAAGAGGATTAGAAAGTTGGTAAATTATTTTCGCAAAAATAAGTAGACGAATAATTTCTTTTCACGGGTAGAAATTAAATTACGAGGTTGATATTCTCGTAAACAGGAGAAGAAGAAGAAGAAGAAGAAGAAGGGTGCAACAACTTATATAAGTCGGTAGGGATTCGAGTCGTAAGGATTAAACGCAGGTGTATAACTTGCGCGGAGATTCGTGCAAGTTTGGCGATCAAATAAATTGTTAATCCCCGGAGAGCTAACATCCGAGGAATTAAACGCCTCCCCCGCCGACCCGATTCCATCTCCTCCCCGCGGATCACGATTATCGTAGAAATAATTTTTTAATCATTTCCTTCAAACTTTCTCTCCTCCCTTCTCACCTTTCGTCTCGTGTAATTTTCGTTCGAGAAGCGATAAGGGACGGCCGATCCTCTCTGACAATCTCTCTCTCGAGTTTCTTCGATCTCGAATAGAAGTGAGAAAAATAATCCAAGTCGTTTCGCTACTTATCTCGTTCCTCATCGGGAGGATTGTATCGACGAGGGAAAGTTTTAATTGTCCTCCTCCTTTTGAAATTTTATTTCAAGGGAGGAAGATATATAACTTGGAGAAGTTTGCTCCGATAAAGCGAGATTTTTAATTTTCCTCCTCGAATCAATCGTGGATACGATTGAATCGTTCCTTCAACTCTTTTAAATCAGAATAAACGCGGATATTGTAAATTGTACTCACCTCATGGGTTTGAACAACGCCTGCATGTTGGAATAATTTATCTGCAGCTTCAGCTGGGTACCGCCCTCTTTTTGAACTGTGGAAAGAAAAAAAAAAGATGCACAAAAGGTTGGATAAAAATCAGATCAGTTCGTTCTTCGATTTCGATCGGGGGGGAAAAATATCCGATTACTTAGAGATAGCGCAACTCGATCAATTTTCTCGAATCGAATCGAGATATTCCATTTTCAATTGGGCACGATCGCGTAAATTTTGTTAACTCTCCTCGTAAGGGAGGATAATAAACAAGCGATTTCATAATAAGAACGTATAAGGGGAGACACGCTCGAATGTTTGGTAGATTATAAAAATTAAAGTTAAATCCGAGGCGGTAAAAACAGGGTGGCGGGAAAAAGATTTTCTCTGTAAAATCCATTAGTATTAAAACGTTGTACTTTCAATATAAAAATACGGCGAATTGAATTTAATCCAAAGTTTTTCGCGATACGAAATAATAATTTCGCAATTTCACGGAGGAAAAACGGCTCCCCTCGAGATCCCCGAACGAGGAAAATTTCTTTCCACGCACGAGGAGAGAGCGAATATCGATCGTCCCCCACTGTGTCAATTTCATAAATGATATATACCTAATTTACTGTGCCAGCCGTCCGAGTTGGCCGCGGTCAATTTATCACCGCAGGACAATTAATCGTCGACTGCTGTCGCGTCGCTGAAATTATCGACTTCAACTACTTAGACCTTGTCAGCTTAAACCCGTTCTGTCTACTCGACAAATAAAAAAAAAAAAAAAGAAAGAAAGAAAGAAGAAAAAATCAATTTGCCAATTATTCTCCTTCGAAGCTGGCTTATCACACGAAGCATCGCGATATTAATTCGTCAATTTTTACATTTTGCAATTATCGACGCCGCGCGATGAAACGTGACATCTGCAGTCGAGCAGTCGAACGGTATTGACGCTCGTGTGCAATTAAAATTGAAACGATTACGCAACGGGACGGAATGAAAAAGACCTTTGTTGCATAGTTTATTAAACTCGTTACGCGATTAAAATAGTTCGTGGAATATTTCGAAGGTTAACTTCTCGTGAACCGAATGGCTTTACACACCTACGGATACACATCGATTTTCGAACTCGACTGGATGGTGTATACCCTCCTACCTTGAACTCGGTTCTAAAGTTCAAAGGTCGTCTTTTTCGAGAGAGAGAAAGAGAGAGAGAGAGAGAAAGAAGTTTGGAAAAGGTTTGGCAGAGCGTGTAAAGTAAAACTCTACGTGCGTGCGTTTACGTTTATCGACTGTCAATCGATCGATCATTCGAATCAACGTTACAATTCCCTTTAATTTCTCTCGTATGCGATGAAACTGGTCAATGAAAATCCAACGTATCTCGAAATATCATGAAATTATATATATATTTTTCATCGAAACGAGGATATCCGCGACTTCCCCATAATTTAATCATCGTCTTTGGAAGTGGGATCCTTTGTCTTTGTGCCCGTTCCTTCCATAGATCTCCGGATCTAATTTCCCCGAGCGGCTCGATACCGCTTAATAATTACATCCCCGTCGACACCGCTCGCCACTTCATTCAACTTCCCCTCCTCCCATCGGCTCCCTCGATTCGTTCGACAACCTATCGAACCCTATCAAAATTACATCCATCGATCCCTCCAGTTTCTCGCCAATCGGCCTGTTGTTGTACCTAACGACAAGCGTATCGAGTTCTCCTTTGAATCTCCGCTTTTATCCCGCTCTCGATCAAACGATCAACGAGGTCAAGAAATTCGAAAGAATTTGTTGCAAACGAACGAGGAAAGGAGAGGCTCGATTCGAAGAAATCGAGAAGGAATTGTCGGGTAAGACAAGGGAGAGATGTGGATAGAGAGAGATACCGGGAGGAAGAGGGAAAATGACGCGAATATAAATAATGGGGAGGGGAGGAGAGGAGAGTGGATACGAGAGGGCGGAAATCGAGCGTAAAACTCTAATTTTAAAGCGTTACGCTCGGAAAAGTCGGCGGGAAGAGCGATCTTTTCATCCTCCCGCTTGCCTCCCCCCTTCTCCCCCGAATGGATCGGGCGATGGCATTGTTAGTCAATGAACCACGTAGTAGCAATTACTAAGCACAAAGCCACGGTCACAATAACACCGGTTAATTGTCCGGCTTCATGGGCCAGCGCAGAGGAATTAATTTCCAACAGAGAAGATTATTGCGCCGCCGTTTTCAGATTAATTTTATATCGGCTCGTCTAATCTCTTCTCTCTCTCTCTCTCTCTTTCTATCTATCCATCTATCTATCTGCTCTTTCACGTTTCATTCGTTGCGACGGCTTCGTTAATCCCTTCCCTCGCGAGCATCGGCCGTGCGTACAACACGCTTTGTTCATCGAGTATGATGCGATAATTGATATCGCGGACAAGAGACAATCAGCCTTTGATCGAACAGCCTTATTGTGATTTTAAATATTATTCCTTCTTCTTTCTTTTCAAACGAACACCGAGTGATCTTGAATAAAGTTCGTTCGGATTCATTTCTTTAAATTTCTCGAACACACATTCTCTTCCTATTTATAATCTTTCGAGTGATAGAATTCACGTTTCCAACGAGACATAATACGACCATTTTTAAAGAAAAAGAAGATAGAATCGGGATATATCTATCCACTGACGTTCTTGTCAAAATACTTTACAATAAAATCAGATTAGAAATTTTTCGAGTCGAGTTAGGATTGGGAAGGCAACTACTACAATTAAACAGAATCCCTCCCTGATAAATTTCGTTGCCATCGAGCCACACAAACAGGCAGAGGAAAGACGTCAATTTATATTTTGACCGAGGTAAAATTTAATAAACGTCCACGTACGGGACGCTGCCGTTTCACCATTTATTATTTCCCTTAAAGGAAAAATTCCAGGCACGATTTGCGTGCACTGTCGCTCGAAAATTTATATTACAGCGTGTACTCGATCGTGTAGCATTGTCCTGATGGAAGAAGTTCGAGGATGCCGGTATGTTCAAAGAATCTCGATTAATATCGTACGCTTCTTCTTCCCCTCCCTCCTTTCTTCCAAGGTTGATCAACGACTATCCGTTTCTACTACTGATTCTCGACATTCATTTACCTCGAGAACGAGAAAAGATTATCGATGAAGCAAGGCTCACTCACCGACGTGAACTATAGGCCTCGTCGCGATTTCGTGCAACAATTGGTCCACGTACTTCGACCTCTCCGGATACAGTTCTATCCTCGAGATTTGCAGGTGGAATCTCTCCAACGTCGAACTGTTCTTCCTGAAACAAAACGAACAAGACACTCTTGTGAATGATAATAATCTCGAAAAGAAAAAAAGAAAAAACTTCAATCGACCATAGAGTAAAGATAAAAGAGTAGAGTAGAATTTTTCTTTACGAGAAGAGATATAAATTCTAAAAGAAGATTTCGAAGACCTTTTGAAAACACCGTTGGAAGCCCTCTCTCGACGAGTCTGACCTCTTACACTCTATGGAGGCCATCCCGTGAACGGTGTTTCCCATGGAGGGGTACGTTAAAGGGGTGCTTCGTCTTCAGCTTTCACCTCGCGTATGCGTGACACGTGTCTACCATAACGTTTCATAAGATTTCCACCGAAACTGGTAGATATTTCACCCCCTTTCGCAACTTTTTTTCTTTCCCTTTCTTCCATACTTTCAGTTCGACGAGTGAGAACTGTCGGATCCTTTATCCACGGGGAATGGACTTTTACAGCGGCCGTTACTCAATTCTTATTTGCATAGGCTGTAGCGTTTATATAGGTATTGTTTCCGCTGCTTTTAACGCTTTCGAGATTTCCTTTCGTTCCGCGGTATTGAGAGGAAGGGGGACAAAGGAGAGGAGGTTGTCTCACGGTGAAATGGTTGATCAGCGGAAAATACCTCGCCGCTTTTTTCCTCCCCTTTTAACCTTTCGAGAGAAGGGAAATCACCTGAGAATGGGCGACTCGTCGCTCGACTTGAACACTTGCGATCGCGTTCAATCTTGGCGAATTATCTCGAGAATCGGGATCGAGTGATTCGACTTATGAAGGAATGCTTTCGATGCTTTTTTCCGGATTGAGGAGATCGATCCGTAAGTTTTCCAACATCATAGAGATCAATATTCGTTGTGATTTTCTTTGAATGAAAATAAAGATCTGTTAAAATTTAAATCGTTCGAGCGATAAACCGATTGGAATAAATTCTCAAGAATTCGATGTGTTCCGTTGCTATTTTTAATCGAGGAAATCAAATAATTTTCATTAATTTCTTGGCCACGTCGAAGAATCAGGTCACGAAAATTCCCTCTCGTCACAAGCCCCGATAAAGTTGCCCGCGATATTGAAATCAGTTGCTCCGAATGAACACGATTTACGTCGAAAACATCTGACAGCCTCGACTTTCCCAACTCGAAAGTGGAAAATCTCAATCGGTCTTTTTCTCCGTATTCGAGGAGGTATTACCACGAAAATCTGGACAAAATTTCATAGAAGTTATTCTCTAGGGGGGGGGAAAAAAAAAAAGAAAAAAATCTTCCAACGATTCTTTTCATTTTTCGATACGTCGAATTATTCTACGCACGATAAAATACATTTTACATTTTTGAGATTTCAAAATTTTTATTTTTATTTTTACAATCTTTCAATTTTTCCATCTTCTTCCATCATAGTACTACCTTAATCGATAATTTTAATCGATGAAACTACCCTTCAACCACAATTTCTTTTCGATACAAATTTAAAATTATTTCGAAATCTCAATTCCCCTCTCATGCTCACAGAAATTGAACAATCATCGCCTTAAACAAATATGTTGAAAAGAAACCACAATCTACAATATACAAATTCAAAATTATTTCTTACCCCTATAAAATATTTATTCCATATTTTCGAAATCTCAATTTATTTGCTTTCGTGTTTTCAGAATTTGCGAATAAAACTATCCTTTAGAAGAAAGAATCATTTCTGATACAACGAAAAATTATTTCATAAATCTCAATTCCCCGTTCTCCATATTCTCCGCGGAATAGGAATTAAATGATCGCCAATCGGCAAACTCTGTCACAAAATACGTGAAAAAGAAATCTTTTCTTCTCAAATTTACAGATACAAAGTCCAAAATCATTTCACACCCGATAAAATACATTTTCCACATTTTCGTTCGCCGCATCGTTTCTCACTCGTCCCCAAATATATTTTCCCATATACGTTTCCGTTTGACATTGAATTGAATCGCGATAAAACAGTTGGAAAGGGAGTTGGGGGGGGGGGGCGAGCAATGAGCGCGGAAAATATTCCCGGAATCCCATACGTAACAACAACGAATTCAGTGGCATTCGCCACGTAAATTTTCCAGGAATCCGCGGCGCAATAACGAGGTTCAGGGACGCTCGTAAAAGTTGTTTTTCCTGAAAACTTTATCAGCCATCACGGTCGGCCGTGAGCCGATCTATTAAAATTAATCAGCGGGCTAATTGCAGCTTTAATCATCCCGCGCGTCTTTCCCCATCCCCCCTCGTTTTTTTCAATGCACAATTCGTTGCGCCACAATTACGCAACGTGTTTTTCTTTTTTTTCTTCCTTTTCCTTCTCTCTCTCTCTCTCTCTCTCTCTCTCTCTTCCTCCCGCCCGTTTCGCCTCGAAACTTTCCCAACGGCACACAATACGTGGATTCATTTATTCATAACAATGTATCTGGGTCTTTGAAGCGAGGAAAGATTACGTTGGAAACGGTCGGTAATTCGACCCACTTTTTTTCGAACCCGATCTCGGTTAACAGGAATTATTTATAAAAATTATCCTCCATTATTTTCTTACCCCCTTGATGCGATGTTTCCACACAATTGGAAACGTAATATCGCATTGTGTCGTTGCGTAATTACATTCGCAAGCATTATATTGACGAGAAGCGACGGAAAGGATTGACGAGAGAGGCTCTGGCGAAGGAGAAGGAAGGGCTTCTCCTTCTTGATCCGAAGGAAGCGAATCTCGAGAATCTTCTTCGAGGTGAATCGACTCGAGAGAAAGAGAGAAAGAGAGAGAGAGAGAGAGAGAGAGAGAGAGAGAGAGAGAGAGGCGAGAAGGGCGTGGATCTCGCGACACCTTAATTAACCAACTTTAGAGGTGTTTGAAGGTGGGTGAATTAATTGCCTCAAACCTTCCCTCCTCGCATATATTACCATGCCTATATACCGTACTCCCCCGATCAAAGAGTTATTCCGAATCAATTTCCCTCCTTTCATAAATATGAACGAGTTCAATTTACATAGCACAGTACACCTGTCAATCTAATTTCATTCTTGTCATTCCTCCGAATATTTACGGAGAATTAATTTGAATTCTTTAAAAGAAAAAAAAAAAAAAAAAAAAAAAAAATCTCTTCTCGATTCATCGGGGGGACAAAACGGAAGGGGACATAAAATTAGCCTCCTTGAGACCGTAAACGAAGAAGATTGATGAACAGAGGAGAAGAGAGAACAGAGGACCGGTTGACTTTAGGCGGACTTGGACACACCGATCTCTCGAAACGACCTCAGCCATGCTAATCTCCATTGTCCACTCGTTTGCCATTAATTCCAAGGACCAACGTCATGCGCCGTTTCATAAATAACAAAGAGCACGAACGACATATCAACGACGACGTTTTATGATTCACGTCCACGTAATGTCGTCGTCGTCGTCATCGTCGTCGTCATCATCTTTTTCTTCTTCGAATCCAACGATCCGACAACGAGAGAAAAATCGGTGATTAATTCTTCCTTTCGTTCGTGGAAATTCGTCATCGTCGATTTCGTCCATTTCTTTTTCCTTTTCCTCTTCTTCTTCTTCCTCTTCCTCTTCCTCTTTTCCTTTTTTTTCCCTTCCGTGAATAATTCTCCCGCGAGCGAGACACGGAAGCAATTTGGCTTTGCATAGGCTAATTAACGTAATCTTGCGAACTGGGACTGGCGTGTGGGAACGGTACATTAAACCGGCATGAGCGTGTAATTTGATTGTGCATTTGTGGCCGTTCCACGACGTTCTTTCGTTTCACGACAAGGGAAATAGTTATCGCCGAGCGATAAAAGAGTTCTGCCCGATGAAACACGAAGAAAGGAAGGAAATCGGTTCTTTGAATGGGGTTACAACGTTGCAAATAAAAAGGAACGAAAAAGGGAAGAAAAAAAAAGAGATGGATGTCGAACGATCGAGCCACGTCGCGTGACGAAACGCGCCAAGGAAGGAAGAAAGGAAGGAAAAAAAGAGAAAGAAAGGAAGAAAGAAAGAAAGGAAAGAAGGAAGGAAGGAAGGAAAAAAGAAAAGAAGGAAAGAAGGAAGGAAGAAAAAAAAGGAAGAAAGGAAGGAAGGAAAAAAAGAAGGAAGGAAGGAAAAAAGGAAGGAAGAAAGAAAAGAAAGAAAAAAGAAACGAAGGAAGAAAAAAGGAAGAAAGGAAGGAAGGAAAGAAGGAAGAAAGGAAGGAAAGAAGGAAGAAAGGAAGAAAAGAAGGAAGAAAGGAAGAAAAAAAGAAAGGAAGAAAGGAAGGAAGAAAGGAAAGAAGGAAAGAAGAAACGAAGAAAGAAAGAAAGAAAGGAAGGAAGGAAGAAAGGAAAAAAGGAAGGAAAAAAGGAAGAAAAGAAGGAAGGAAGGAAGGAAAAAAGAAAGGAAGGAAAAAAGAAAGGAAGGAAAGAAGAAAGAAAGGAAGGAAGAAAGGAAAGAAGGAAAGAAGAAACGAAGGAAGAAAGAAAGGAAGGAAGAAAGGAAGAAAAGAAGGAAGGAAGGAAGGAAGGAAGAACGAACCAGTAGCAATAGACGTCGAGACACGTTTTGATTTTCTTTTCTTCCAAATAAATCCCTCCCTCCCTCAGACTGATGTTGCGTCTAATCCACGCGTGTGCCTCCACCACTCGTGGACGCGTTCAATATGCATTCGTGTATATTGCCTTGGATTAACCACCGTGGGCCGGGCCAAAGCGTCGGATTACCGGACAAATTGATACCGCGCTGTGCTCGTCACAGTGCTGTCAAAACACGATGGAATCGCCATAGTATGTAATTCTCCTCTTCTCCTCTTTGAAAACCTTTCCCGGTTTATATTGGAAGGTTTTTAGCAAACGATCAAAATTGCGAGCGTAATTGGTGACGTTGTACAAATTTGAACGTTTTGCCAAATAACGAAAAGCATCCTGTTCTGCGAATTCGAGAAAGAGGCGTCTCGATATTACCCGAAAGATAAAACTTTCGATCGATTAACCACCATCTGGATTGCATCCAGGTGGTTCAAACAGGTCGCCGATTTTAAAA